AAAGTGACTGTAGAAATTAAGTGTATTACAAAGTTTGTAATGAGAAAGAATAAACTAGTTTTATTTAAGAAAGGATTTGTATCGCTGAAGTTTCTCAGAAAGAAATTTAACGGGAAATTATCAAACAAGCAGATACGTAACAATATAATAGCAGAAGAGAGTAAAGTTATAACATGGAAAAGTTTGCAGTGAAATTAACTACCATAGAAGTGATAGTAAGAGAATCACACACAGAATACTAGTGCGATAGTAATATAGAAGATAGTTTAGTTTGTCAACTGAAATACTAAAGTAATTGAATAGGCCTAAGTGGACTTTTGACAAGAAGAAGAGAACTATATATATAGTGTCTATGATATGCCCATAATCTCTATAGTGTGAAGAATTTGTTGTAAATACGGTTAACTTGTTCTGAATATATATATTATTTTGAAAACAAGTGGAGTTCGTGCTGTTTATTTATCATTGAAATTATCGCTAACAAATCACAGACGCCTATTGTAGAAGAATCCTAAGCCCAACAACATAGTAATATTTATGCTATTAAGAAATATAAGTAAAATACATTTATTTTGACAATTGGCAGAAAAATTTATATTTTAAGTTCTGACAATTGGTGAGACACTGCCAGAATTATACAGTGGTAAACAGCGATAGAAAAAAACATGAAAGATAGCGAAAATAAGTAGGCCTATAAATGGATTTGTTTGTTTGTTTGTTTTTGAATTTCGTGCAAACCTACACGAGGGCTATCTGCGCTACCCATCCCTAATTTAGCAGTGTAAGACTATAGGGAAGGCAGCTATTCATCACCACCCACTGCCAACTCTTGGGCTACTCTTTTACCAACGAATAGTGTGATTGACCGTCACATTATAATGCCCACACGGCTGAAAGGGCGAGCATGTTTGGTGTGACGGGGATCCGAACCCCCTATAAATGGAATAAAAGCACAATTTGAAAAAATAGGAAAAAAGAGAGGGGTGAGACTAGAAATAGAGAGAATAAGAGCACAAATTGAGATAGCAAAACTCACCCAACTGAAGGAAGAAGAACCCAAGAATGACAATGTAGTCAGGGCTAGACAACCTAACTGCCCAAACTTGATTATATGGATGCTTTCCTGGAGATATATGAAAGATTCGCCCAAACTCAGAACTGGGACAAAGGTGACTGGGCAGTCTGTCTCAGCCCACTTCTCACAGGAAAGGGCCTACAAGTTTATGCTGGTATGACGTCAGAATGATGCCATGGATTATGACAAATTAAGAGTGACTTTAATGAAATGATATGGACTTCCTGAAGTAGGCTTTTATCAGAAGAGGAGTCAAACCTGAAAATGGAGAAACTGTATTTTATTGTGTGGCATGACTGACATGGCCATGTGTGAAAATATTTTTGAGGGACTGGCAGACCTATTAGTACATGAACAGTTCATGACCACATGTTCAACTAACATGTCACTGTTCCTAAAGGAGAGAGCACCAAAAGACATAGACGAAATGATCAAGCTGGCAGAACAACATATGGAAGCCAATGGAAGTAATATAACTAGCAAATCCAAGAATGTCCAGTTAAATATGAAACCAGTAATGGCTGACCAGAAATGTGACAGGAGGTTAATAGACAGAAGGGAGAAGATATGCTATGTTTGTTATAAAATGGAACATGTTGCAAAGGAGTGCAAGTCCATTACCAGCAAACAGCAGCAGAAACATCAACATAAAGCAGCTTTTAGTTATATTTCTTAATAGTATAAATATACACTATGTTGTTTTTTGGCTTAGGATTCTTCTACAGTAGGTATCTGTGACTTGTTAGCAATAAATTCAATGATGAATATATGGCATGCACTTCACTTGTTTTCAAAATAATATATATATTCAGAACAAGTTAACGTATGTACAATAATTTCTTCAACACTATAGATATTATGCATATATCATAAATACTGTATATTTAGTTCTCTCCTTCTTGTCAAATATCCACTTAGGCCTATTCAATTACTTTAGAATTTCAGTTGACAAGCTGAACTATCTTCCCTATTTCTATCACAATAGTATTCTCGGTGATGCACTTACAAATGTGGCGAGAGTTACCATAATCGTTTGGTCTTCTTTCTTTTGAGGATCCTCTACTCCTTTTGTCAAAGTGCACTCAGGCTGATTCAATTGCTTTATATCCATGCTTTGGCAGAATAAAATTATTTTTCTTATCTTCATTTCTACTGTTAGTTTCACTCTAACATAATAAACGTTAGGCCTATCACTTCTACGGTAGTTAACTTTACACCAACTTTATTCTCTTTTGCTATTATCTGTCTGCTGCTTCCCACTTGTCTCACGCTATTTATATCTTTATTACCTATTCGTCTGTCCACCTTCTAGCTATATTCTCGATGTCAGTGTATTTCACATGACATTCAATACTCTCAACATCAATGAATTATTAACAAAACTTCCTACAATCATCTGC